ACAGGCTCTCTTCTTGGGGTTGTTCGTGCCTTTGTGATCTTCTGTACAAAAGAGGAATAGTCTGGTGAAAGGTGAGTTTTTGTTCTGTATGAATAGCACTGCAGTAAATAGGACTGTAGAGTTTTTTTCTTAGTTAAGTGCTACTTAATGAGAAAAGTAGATTTATTTACACAATTATTAGTATCTAGGGCTGTGACCGGTGCGAAACTGGCTGATATCCGCCATATAACTGCAGAATTACTTCAGTCTACACTTTCCCTTACTTTAATGGAAATAGCTATAGCCTAAACCCTAACGACTCTACGCTTTTCTCACCAGTCTTCCCCTATTTGTTGGAAAGATACATTATCTCCTACTTCATAGCTTTTACTGTAGTTGTGTATTGTTACTATGGTTACCTGCATATTTTTTTAAGAGAACATCCATCTGAAAACTATGCTGTAGGCGCCAGAATTTGTGAGATTTATTCGTACTTTTAGCTTCGTGTTTGGTGTTAAGTTTCGCGTAATTAGTTTCTTTTGTTTTGTGGCCATTTGTATATGTTATGTTCATTTGCATACTCTATAACTTTGGTTCGCGTGTAATTTATTTTAGTTAGTAGCGTCTTTGGATTTGTTACAGCTTTTCGGTTTGTCTTTGGTTCATTACTTTTGTCTTGTAAGTTTCTTCGTTTATTTTGCTTTGCCGCTTTTCTGCATTCTTCATGTTCGGTCATTCTTGGTTATTTTATGTTCATTCCCGTGTTTGTAATTTTGTTATTTTCAGTTACTGTTTCAGTCTACATTGGATGGAATAAATTTCTATGGTAAGATCTGAAACAAATATAAATTTCTATAGGAAGATCTGAAACGAGTAAAAAGCGTGTACAACAATACACGCAGTATTGAAATATGAGTCTACAGTGACCATCTCAGATTTTGTTCAAATTCTGTTGGTGTCAGATTTCTTCTGCAATCCCATATATATAGTTTAGTGACTAGTATCAAATATTGCAGTAAAGGGTAATTTGCGTAAATAATGCCAATCATGACATCTTGCAGAGTAGGGTGGACGAATTCTCTTGTCAGTAGGTAGAAGAAGTATTCAAAATCTTTCCCAAAAGGTTACACAAGGCTGCAATGAAAAAGGAGATGGGGAGGGATTTCTGGTTCTGATTTACAGATTGAACATTTATCCTCTGAGATGTAACCTATCTTAAATAACTTTGTATTAGTAAAATTAATAGTGTTGAATTAAGGACTTTATATTGAAATGCTTCTATGTATGGTTCAAAGGACACTTTATGCGGTAGCCAGAAAACCTTTTTCAAGTGATCTTCTGGCAAATTAAAAGTTTGTCTCAGATGTTGAGAATTATTTGGAAGCTGGGCTTTTGAGGTTTTTATTAATGTGTAGTAGTCCTTAGATTTCTTTTGTAACACATCAAAGTCTTTGTTATCTATCGTTTCCAATAAAGAATTTCGGAGGGAGTGTTTTCCTTGGTTTTTAGGTGTAATGGTACGGAGTGACGAAGTCCTGCCCAAGTTAAAAAGTTAGTTTTGCTTATTTTGCTTGAAATAATCTTAAAAGAATTTGCGGTATCTGTGTCAAATAAAAGATTGTTTACATAAATTATGCGGTTTTCAAAAGGAGTTCCATAGAAGCTGGGCTTATTGTTTATTTGTATCTCTTTGTTGTTCCACACTATATGTTGCCATTCTTTTTTAGTATCGTAACCGTCGCGGAATTCTGACCACCACTGAAGTTACTCAATAAAAAAGAGAAGGAGCATGATGGTCTTTAATATCGTAATTACAATAAAATAAAAAGAGACCCCCGTAAGGCTTCAGTGAAACTCGTAGGTAGCTTTTCCAAGCACCGTCATTCTCTCCAAAGATTCTTTTCAGCCAGGCCAGCCTTAATGATTTAACCATGCTTTCAAGATCGAGCATTTTTAGTCCGCCGTTCTCGTATTTGTTTATCATGAACAGTCTTGTTACTTTATCCGTTCCTTTCCATAGAAATTTAAATAATATTCGGTTCAACTCTTGGATGATTTCCTTTGGAACAGGCGGAAGTGACAAAAATAATATAAACAAATTTAGAGACAATTAAAGACTTTATAACTGTCACTTTCGCGTAAACAGAAAGACCTCTTGAAGACCAGACATTTACAAGTTTTTTGACGCTGTCCAACCTCTCGACAAAATTCTTTTTGTGCAGTAATTTAGTGTCAAAGGAATAATAGACCCCAAGGGCTTTGATTGGTGGGCTGCTCCATTTAATACCAAAGGGTTTTGACTTATTTCTTAAGGGCAAATTCCCACAAAAATCAAACAAAATCAAATTTCTTCGGCAAGGCCAGAAAACTCAAATTCACTCTTCTTTTGCGTATAGCTAGCCGCTAACAAGAGTGCAAACAGGCTGTAGTTTTTTCCTTGAAATAGTTTTGTCTTTCCGAGAAAAGTGACATTTACGATTCAACTTTCAGACTCAATTTCATGCAATTTAGCTAGTCCCAACTGGGCTGAAAATCGAACATTTTCATTTGATTCGCATTTCGCAACTATTGAGTGCAGAAAAGTTGTAATACAACCAGCTTATTGCAGAACTATTCCTTGTCTAAAAAGGAGAATTTCAAGAATAATCATTAGATTAATCTAATTATTTAGCGGTAAACAAAACCAGAGTGTTCTCCAATATTGAGTTAGTCAGTCGGTGAAAAGAATTGTCATTTTGACCATGTGCCATGNTCTTTTGTAAACTTAAGATAAAATGACTGACTTAAATTTTGTCAAATAAAAGAAAAAACGATTTTTTTGTGCCCTTAAAGGTGGGAAGTAACCTTAATGAGATTGTGAACCAGGGCTTATTACATCCCTGATAACAGGTACAAGTCATGATACAAATAATTTCAAAATGTATTAAGAGCAAATGCCCACAAAAATCAGACAAAATCAAATTTCTTCGGCAAGGCTAGAAAACTCAAATTCACTCATCTTTTGCATATAGCTAGCCCCTAGCAAGAGTGCAAACAGGCTGTAGTTTTTTCCTTTCAGACTCTATTTCATGCAATTTAGCGAGTCTCAACTGGAATTGTCATTTTGACCATGTGCCATGTCTCGGAATTCCAAAAGATTTTAGATTCTAACTATACTAGGATAGGTCTTTCAATATATGTAAAGTTTAGTTTTAGCAAATGATTAGGCACTCGTCAAAAAAATATTCAAAATCATTCACAAAAGACACAAAATCACGCCAGCAGCTTCCAAGTGTGTGACCAAAAGTATTATCATCGTTTCGGCATATTACTTCAATTTGAAACGTCAGCATTACCAAGCAGTATAAATGACATACACATAATAAGAGCATGTTCACCTACCTCGGTTTGTAATATCCTGAATCTTGCAAACTGATTCTTTCCCTGCATATAATTTTCAGCGGCGTTCTTGTCAGTACTCATATCCGACTTTGAAGAAAAACAGTTACGGCCAAGTCCTATGTATGTATCATCTATCTGTGTTATTTCTGTTGTTTGATTAAGCCAGTAGTAACTGCTAAAGCGTTATTCCACATGTGACTTTCAGTTTCCATTTTGAAGACATTCGAAAGTCCTCCATTTTGACTTGACTTTGACTCGAGATGAGTTATCCAAGACCCATGCGTTACAGCATATTTTACATGTGGGTGAGGGTCGGGATTTCAGAGCTTTTAACAGAGTTACTTTTCTTTGTTTGACTTTTAAGCCACAAAGACCTGGTTCGTGTATAGCATTTTATCACTTTACCCTGAATTAGAACTAACATTGAGATATTGGAAAAATTCTAACGCTTTTTCCTTCGGAGATAATTCCCACTCTACCCTTACCCTGTGTGCAAAGACTTTTGCTGGACAATATGCAAATGAGAGATGCAGAGCCATCAAAGATGGCAGCTTGTTTGTTACTGCTAATTACTAGGGATTTCTGCCTGATAGCAGGTTGAATGATTGTACTGAACAACACAACGGAAAACATAGGAACATTTGCATAGGAACTTGGTAACATTGAACGATTTGGGGTATTCAAAATCACCAGATGACTTTGTACAGGTTATGCAAACCTAATGGAACACCGTTGAAATGGCAGGATAGGAATGTTGTTTGACAGTCAAGACACAATAACCCAGCTAAGGTAAACATATATATGTTGGTTTATGCGTAAGTCATGCTGATATTCTTGTGATATTTCGAATTGAAGTGATTTAATGACAAAAACATTGGTGTAGTACTTTTGGTCACGCATTCGTCTGCTGGCATGATTTTATTTTTTTTTGTGTATGATTTGAATAATGTTTTGACGAGGTCTAATCATTTGCCCAAACTAAACGTTACATATATTGAAAGACCTATCCTAGTATAGTTAGAATCTAAAATCTTTTTGAATTCCGAGACATGGCACATGGTCAAAATGACAATTGTTTTCACCGACTGACGAACTCATCGTTGGAGAACACTTTGGTTTTGTTTACCGCTAAATAGTTGGATAAATCCAATCTTCTTGAGACTGTGCTTTTTTGGACAAGGAATAGTTCTGCAATAAGCTGGTTGTATTACAACTTTTCTGTGCTCAATAGTTGCAAAATGAGAATCATATGAAAATGGTCAATTTTCAGTCCAATTAGAACTCCTTAGATCACAGGCGGCCCAAGCTCACAACGTGAGGAGTTATTATTTTTTTTAAATCTTTATGCGAATGTTCAGCACACGAAACGTGACACAGTTACCACAGACTTCTACTATTACATAACGACAAGTTTGGTTACACGAACCGTGACCTTCACCTTTCAGCATATGGTGGTGTTGTGTTACAACGGTTTGAATTTATAAAGGTTTGTATGGGGAAAAATGGTAATTGACATTATAACTGAAATTTTGATATTTTTTACCTCAATGCCTTGTTGTCTTTTCCATTGTCATCTCGCTTCTCAGCTTGATCTGAAGCCTTTTAAGCGAGTAATCGCTGTTTGGTTTTCCTCTACTAAGAAAGAGTAAAGGCTACACACTCAATTCTGGACTGACCCCCGCTCGAAGCGAAAAAAAAAAAAAACACTGAAATCCCGCGCCAGCTGCCCCAATTCCTCCGCAGAATCATAGTCAGGGGTTAAGCGCTCCCTTTCAGTTAAACTTCAAGCCAAATTCATCTCCACAGCGCACGATACAAAGCTCTGAATCGAAGAAAGCTAACCATCTAGAATCAGTGATCATGCTGCCGGGACCAACCATGGACACATTCGTAACCCGAGTAGAATGGTGGGCTAACAAATTGACCCTGCCCAGGGGAAGGGAGCGCACAGTTCTCGACAAGTCAGGTACTTTGCTCCATGGTTCCTTGGGAAGATTTTTGTCCGGGCCGCCGACAGAGCATTGTTATGACAAGCCAATCAAAGGAACGACTAGACATGTTTACAAATTTTGAAAAAAAAAATGCTTTGTTCGCGCCAGCAATCTCAATGTAATTGTTGGCTTGTCCGTGAAAGTTTTAACTAACTGTGCTTTGAAGGATGTCTTCAAATTTTAGATGGAAAACGTGGTAAGTAATATTCGCTATGTAAATTTTTAAATCACATTTTGTAATTCGCATACAAGGTGTTTCAAAGTTCTTTTTTTTTTTTAAATTTGTAAACAGGTCTAGTCGTTGCGCTCCCTTCCCCTGAGCAGGGTCAATTTGTTAGCCCGGCATTCCGCTCGGGTTTCGAATGTGTCCATGGTTGGTCCTGGTAGCATGATCACTGATTCTGGATGGTTAGCTTTCTTCGATTCAGAGCTTTGTATCGTGTGCTGTGGAGATGAATTTGGCTTGGAATTTAACTGAAAGGGAGCGCTTAACCCCTTACTGTGATTCTGCGGAGGTATTGGGGCGTCTCGCAGGAAATACCAAGATATTTGAAGAAAAAAACTACATAGCGTTTTTACTTTTACTAAGGCCTAATTATATGCAACAGTAGGGCAAATTCTATTTTTCAAGCCTTACCGAACTATTTTTGATTCTTGTGGACATTGGCTCTTAAGGGACAATATTACATTTGTTAATTTAAGTTCCATCAGCGTGTGGTCAAAATTTAGAAGCCATTTTGAAAAGTTTTTCATTTGCTGTTTCACTCAAGGCACTTCAAGAAGGAAAAATAGCCGTGGTAAGAACAACCACTGTTATGACTCCTGTGACACAAGTCTTAGTGCCCACACATGTCACCACTCCAGGCACACTACAGATGGCAAAGATTGCTCCGGCTACCACAGCACTACCAACACAACAAACTACTGTTCTTCCAGTAAGCACACTAACTGGTGGGGTGCCTGGTACTCAGCCGTCATTAACCACAAAGACCATCCTTCCACAAACCACTTTACAACAAGTTCAGACACACAATGTGGTGATTAACCCTGCTGGGAATATACAACAGTTACAAAGAACTGCAGAAGGAGGTGAGGCAATTCAGTTTTTCCAACTGAGTTATCAATTATACGGCTGAAAATAATACAAACAAATGAGTGATATTCATAGATTTGGAGTGGTAATGTTTCCATTCTCAGTTGGTCAAGCACTTAAACCATGAACCCCTGGCTCGGGAGAATGGGCAACCACTCCCTGTGTCATGAGTGTAAAGGGTCTGTCAATAAATTTTAGCTATTACTTTTACTATTCATTTAGGTATCGCCAATATTCTGCCATTGAGCTAATGCTAATCATAGAAAAAGATTTCAATTACTTCCATATTTCAGCACCTGAAAGATATCAGTTTGTGAAGCAAAAAGAATGGCCCGGAAACAGAGAAACCCGATTTACCCACCCCTTGTTTTTACTCCTTTTATGGCCTGCATGCTTCATTCTTGGGTCTGCAAATGAGAGAGAAAAATTGGTTCATAACTTATGTTACAGACCTTGCCTGTGATTAATATCATTATGCTTGTAAATTCTAACTGCAATGACGTAATTGAAATGCAGCCCAACTGAGAGTGACTTCACCTCAAGCAACCCATCTTCAAGTTACCCAAACACCTGTACAAACTGTTGCACCTGGTCAGCAGATAGCTGTCAGAAGTGTCGCACCAGTACGGCCAGCAACCGGAATCAAACCTGTGGTAACTGCCACAGACAGACCAATGCAAGGTGTGTTTTCCAAAACACATACCAGTTATGCAATGCTTCCGAGTGGTATACCATAGAATATCTTGCAAGTCACTTGTATTTCCTCAGTACCGTAAACACCAGCAGATAAGTCACACCCTTTTACTCAAAATTTCTTTAAAAATTGGGGATGCGGCTTGTCTGAAAGAACATCAGTTCTGGGCAATGTACTATAAATTTGCATAAGTTGACATTTTTTTTATTGTAAAAGGTCAGTATTAAACTGGATTCATACCACGTGTCATTGGTCTCTGTTTCTGTCAAGTCTTTGTTTTGTTGATACATTTTGATTTATATGTGCTAATGTAATTGTTTTTTTGAAAATAATGATGCACTGAAAAAAGAAAAAAAACAGGTGTCATTTTACACCTCTACCTTCCCATAATGGCCGCCTCTCTTTTTTCCTCTGTCCCCAATATGGCTGTTGCGAAGAGGTTTGACTGTATTTTTGTATGGCATAACTATAAAATGTTGTGTTGGAATTGCAGACTCGAGTATGTGCGAGTATGTGTTGAAATGTTTTTATTTATACTGTAGTGGCTCAAGGTGTCACTCAGACTGTAACTATTCAGAGGCCATTGGTACCCAACAAATCACCAGTTAACATGCCAATAACACTGGCACCTTCTGGGACAGTATCTGCTGCTGTGCCGACTGGGGGCCATGTTGTTACCAACATTGCACCAGCACCCATAGCCTCAGGCGTATCTAAAGGAATCCACAATTCATCGCAAGCTGCTGGTAAGTTTGATAGAGTTTAAGCAAGGTAAAAGGCTGCGTCATTTACTTTTAAACCAAAATTTAAGATATTGATTTTAGGAGAATCGGATGGCATAGTGGTGAGAGCGTTTGTCTGCCACTAATGTGACCCAGGTCTGATTTTGACCAAGTGCCATATGAGGGTTGAGTTTGTTGTTGTTTCTTGTCTTACTCCTGAAGTTTTTTTCTTTGGGTACTCCATTTCTCTTACTGCTCAGAATACCAACATTTCCAAATTCAACCTGGATAGAGGACCTCCATGAAAACCAACCAGGGCTGATGTTGCTCTCTCTCTCTAAATATTGTAATATATTTATTTATTTATCCCTTGTGTGTCTCTTGTGATTAGCGATGGTGATTTCTTTGGTTGGTTTTATGACACCCATTGGGAAACTGCTCTAAATGAATTTTAAACATATTGGCATGTCAAACCGGTGATAATTTCTAGGTGCAGCTATGAGAGGAGACAGTAGCAGTCCGTCACCAAACCAGGTTCTGACTAAAAGACGACTACAAGACTTGCTTCATGAAATTGATCCTCGTGAACAGATGGATGATGATGTCGAGGATGTGAGTTTATAAGTTATTTTTTAGTTCTGGGCGAGGGGTGGTGGCAGCTGGGATACTTGGAGAGGAAGAGTCAGAGTGGTGTACATGAAGCCACAATTTTAGAGACCTTTTTAGCCTGGGAGGTTTGTTTTCCCGTTACAGACCACATGATATTCTTTAAAGAATTGTTCTTTTATCCATTTAAAAATTATGAATTCATATACATGTAAACATGCCTCTTTGAAAATTTGAAAGCAAAAATTCTCTAGAGTATCATTTTATGGTCTAAAACTGGGGCAAAAAACTGCCCAAGTTAAAAAGGTCCATTTCCCTATGAGTATTCTCTATTTCACTTTCACTTTTCAAGGGATTACATGTATGTTGGCACCACCGATTGCTTCACAACTACCCTCCTATTTTTTGTTGTTCTCGACCACACTCTTAGCCTGTGAGCAGGTTCTTTGTGGGAAAAGGAAAAGAAAGAAGGAGAGGTAAAGATCCTGCTCATAGGCTCCGTCACTCTTGGAAGCAGCATACCCTGCTATCTCTACCCTTCTTATTTTACCCATGTTTTAAAATCATTATAAAGCGCTATTGGATAGCGATAGAAATAGCGCTATATAAATACAGTATTATTATTGTGTAGTTCCAGAAAATATCCATACCTCCCCCACGGAAGGGACTTTTTTCTAACACCCCCCACCCCTCTGGAAATTCCAGATACGCTTCATACGTTTCTTTAAAATTTTGGTCTCACAGAACCCCCACCCCCAGGAAATTCCAATCCCTTCTGTGGGGGGGAGTATGGATATTTTCTGGAACTGCACATTATTATTATTCTTTTCTTCTTCTCCTCTCCTTCCCATTCACATGGTTTCTTTCTTTCCTTGGGGTACTTACTAGACCATGAGATGTTGTGTTGAGACCATGCAACTTCCGTTTGTGAATCTCTTTTCTATTGAGTATATCCTCATAACCACACTGAGACAAAAAACGTCATCCCCCTCCGCCCCCACCACCTCACAAATCCCCAAACAAAATTTTGTACAATGTATATTTTTTAAACCTCATCCAGTCTTAAAGGCAACTAAAGAGGGATAATGCTAGGTCTGTGTGATCTATAAATTTTACTTAGCAGCTTGACAAGTCACTGTTTGCTTGGTATTGATAAGTTCTTAAAGAACTGCTCATGAAATAAAACAACTCACGGTTTGCTGGCATCTTCTGTTACCTTTTGATACTTTCTTCAAGTGACATTGAAGGCTTATGGCCGACTGCTTTCCTTGTTGTAGTTGTTGCTGCAGATTGCAGATGACTTTATAGAGAGTGTTGTCACAGCTTCATGTCAGATTGCCAAGCATCGGAAATCCAACACGCTAGAAGTGCGGGATGTACAACTACACCTAGGTTTGTACTCTGTTGGCATTACTGTCATTTAATTTTTACTTAAAGCCGAAGGCCTTGTACTTTTTTCCTTTTGCTTTTGTGTTTGATATTTTAGACAGCAAAACAGGAAGGATCAATTTAGTCCACGGTTTGTGCACGGCTTGAAAGATCTTTACAAACGAAGGGAATTTGGCGCTCGGTAGGCCTTTAGCATGAAAGTTGGATTTAGCTCAGAGGGTACTTAATTTGAGTAGCTCAAGAGAGGGCACTTATCCGGGACACATATGTCATTTGCCGGCTGGAAGGTTCGCGCAGTGAAAAACTGTGACTGAGATCTTTAGGAATGCTGGACATTTCTGAAGCAGCCAAACCACAAACCGTGAACTTGGCTAAGCCTGCTCTAACTCTTCTGAGCTGAAAAGACAAATCATTCTGTACTTAAAAATAGACTTCACTCTGTGATTTGGGCACGGACATCGGATGATACTGTAGCGCACTCTTGTCAAAAGACAGGACATTTTTGGAATGTACGCTGTATTTTTTGGAATGGGCGCTGTATTACAAAAACCCGTCCAAATGGGGAGCGTTTAACTGAGGGGCGCTTATTGAAAAGAGGGTGCTATTACAGCATCATTACGGTGCTGTATTAATTACGGAATGCCGTGTGTGTCGTTTACGTTTTAGAAAGGTGTTGGAACATGTGGATTCCAGGATTTGGCAGTGATGAACTTCGACCATTTAAGAAACAGGCAACAACAGAGGCTCACAAACAGGTCAGAACAACAAGATCGTCAAAACAAATTTACGCCTTGTTTAGGGTGTCTCGATACAGTTTTTTCTGAACCATGCCAAGCATTTTCAGTCGGCTTTTGAACAGTCTTCCCTTCGTCAGATCAATGAGAAAATTACACCAGTGGTTGGAAATGGATTGAAGTTTGGTAAAATGTACTTTCTTTTTTAAGGCAATCACTATTCCCATGGAAACCATAACCAAAAAAAATTGCAAATCGGTAAAAACATGAACAAAAATAAAATGACGACAGAGATGATGTCGTGTCTGTTAGGGGCTAGAATTCTCTCAAGGCTAATTTCCACAAACCAGTTTATTGACCTGCCTTGTCGCGCATCGTAAATCGAAGGAAAATAAGGGCGTCTAAAGATGAATCTAATGCAACCGCGACTTCAGTCCAACTTGTCGATCAGATTCGAAAAAATCTCCAGCAGCCGTACAGATACTCGTGCTTCGAGCCCGAGTTTGTGAATGAAAACGCTACCAGCAAGAAAAAATTGACTTGAACTGACTCTTCTTTTATGTACTAGTTTGTTTAAATCTTCAAGCGTGTTATAGGTGGCTGACTACAAAATACATCTACCGTACACATACTGATCATTCATGGCTGAACACTTACTGTTTCGCTCTCGGATTAACCTTGCCCATCAAAAAAACACAGCCGAAATTAATGCGCGAAGATCTTTATTTAATGAAAATTAAGCCGAACCATGGAAACAATATTCTGAAACTTTTTATGGATCACTTTCAAGATTTCCTACAAAATCCCCGGTCACTCTTGTAGGTCGGCTATCCTCTCCCCCTCTCCCCAGGGTATTCTGTGTCCATGAGTTGTTCATTATCTCTTTTCTTTATTTACAGAGGTTGGCATTAATAAGGAAATCAATGAAGAAATGACGTACAGGGAGAGAATCCCTAAGCTGTGTTATTTTGTTAACGAGACTGTTATTTATGACTGCCTGCAGGCTACAGATGGCTTCATCGTGTGTCGTCGCCAACAGCAATCAATGCAATGGCTTTTAATATTTTTTTGGATATCTTGGAAACCCTATTTTATTAATGCTTCGCGTGTACCTGCGTCCTATTTTTCATCCATGAAATAATTCTGCTTTACTTGGGATTGCTCATACGCGTAAACAGGACAGTGGCAGAGGATTCAAGGCATGTACACAGTGGACACTCCAAAAACGAACTTGTAAAGATTGAATGAAATTTAAGGAGCTCAGTTACAGCATTTTGAATTATTTTGGCCACGTACAAGATTGCTTATAAATGAAAGGAAACCTGAAAATAATAGTTTACTAAGATAGAAAAACACCCAAGAGATAGTAATAAACCACAAAGAAACAAGGATGGGTAAGGATGGAGAAGATTGACACGGATTACAAACGACGAACTTGAAAAACTTTGGCTAAACTTTTCAAGATACGCAAACCATGACGTACTCCTTTAAAGACTCTATAGCTATGCCATAACTAAGCTCATTCTTTGGATGGATATGTTCTGGTTCAATTTTGCCCTTGGCACAGTCTGGTATTCTCCTTTGTTTTATATTCATTATCATGTATTACCATACACCAGAGCACAGGAAAATACCAAATTGTACCAAGGATAAAATTGAACCACAACAGTTTCTCTTAACTCATGAAGTGCTTTGGATCGGACCCCAGGAAAGAGAACCATTTGTTTTCACTGGCGGGTACTCCACGACATCAGGGTATCAGGGAATATTGCAAATCAGCAATACAGATTCTATCAGAGACGAACAGTAACCCATACATCCTGAGTGGGGGCTTCCCTGTCCTGGGATGTTGGTTACAAATTTTGAATAAAGGCCTACATCATAAAAAAATCCATTTTTTGGACGAGCCAAAGGTGGTGTTTGCCCCTGGATAAGAGGGGTAACAGCTAGATCCTGTTTATTTTCGGCTTAACTTGAAAACTTTCCGAATCCAGAATTTCTATTACATGCACATACCAAAGCGAACGTTTGAAATAAAACACACTAAGTGGTGACCAAACGGGATTTTTAACCAACAAACCAAAAAGGTAACCAAGATTCTCCGCTTGTGGCCATTGGGCGTCGCCCCGCCCCGGTCCCAGTTATATTATACCATCGGGTGCGACGTACTAATTAGCAGTCAAATTTAGTCTGCGAGAAACAAAGTACTGGGTACAGGTTTGCGATCCATGCCTGGTTGGGACCTGAACCCAAGAGCACTTTACATCAGCCTGGCGCCAGGATGATATTGTACTTTATGTCGCTTAGCAACAACTCTGGCGAAAACCGCGGGCTCAACCATACTGGGACCTTCCCTACTGGACTCCCCAGGGTCATTTTAATGTTTAAATCGAAGATGGTGGCCGTCGCCTGAAAGACCCGGGAACGCGGCGAATCCTAAGAATTTTATAGATAACGTTCTTTAACTAAATAGAAGCTTTATTACTAAACTCGTTTCAGTTCAAAGAATTTATAGTCAGAATGAAATTTAAAATGCACTCTGGATGTTATCAATAATTTCTATTAGACTTGTGAACAGTGCAATCCGTGGAGTGTAAATAAATCAGAGAACTGTGACAGTTTCAACAATGAGGAATTTTTCCAGCTGTAAAAGATCGTTCAAATTTTCGCGAGCGACTTTGGCGCTTTTTATACAATATGACAGGAGGAAAATGCAACCAGCCAGGACATGAAACGAACCCGCCACATAGAAGGTGAGAACATACGATCCAGACAAATCGGCAAGAAAACCTGCGGAGGGAAAATATCAAGAGATGAACAGAATTACCTCAGTATTCAGACTTCGATTCAATGCAGTTTCAGGTACAGAATGCAAGTGATATCATATATCCTTACATCCATTCTACAACTCTAACCCTTTATCGGCGAATTTCCTTGTTTAATCAACCCTTCGTTTTAGAAAGTGTCATGTTCACGTGTTTAGTCACGGAAACGATATGAACGGAAGAAACAAACTTATCATTTGTTGCTAAGTAACGTGAACTGTTTACACCAGTCTTCGCGTGACGCGAGAGGAAACATCGCCGCGCGAGGGCGAGACTATTCATCCCACGCGTTCTCTCACGTCATACCGACGGACTAAGAAAAGAGAGGGCTGCTGAATTCTACCTCAGTCAGGAATAAAAAGCCACATACCTCCAAAAGGGGGACCCACAGCTAAAGCAATCGCTACACAAAAATGAAAAAACCCGAATCCTTAAGACCTTTGTTTCGCTGAGAGCGTTGTCATAGCTAAGATGTTCATTGAGGATATTATAGCACCGTCAGCGACTCCATAGGCAACGTAACACATCAACAGCTGCTTGTAAGAGTACAGGAGGGTGCTCAATGCTGCAGTGGCTCCAGCTATGAACACCGCCGTTTGCATGATCCACTTGAGATGAACCCCCTTCATGTCGCACACGTAACCGGTCAGAGCTCTGATAAGGACACTGGTGATTCCGTTCCAAAAGTACATCATCGACGTGCGCTTTGCGTATATGCCCCGTTCTTGACAATATCGAGCCTGTGTGGAAAGAATGGCCATATGATGACATCAAAGTATAACATTTTGGTCGTGTGAGCAAGAGTCTCTTGTCATCTACTTGTTCGCACTGAAACGGGGATGAAGCAATCGTTGAATTATCCCGCAAACATTTTTACGATCCTTGTACAGCACCTTTGAGAGAGAATACGCTGATAGCACTGACGATTTTCTATGTTATTTTGTTATTTTCTATATTTTTCCCTGATCTCAGAGGTAATCAATGATCCCCAGATAAAAATAATTTCTAAACGTCGGTCAATCAACCGGTCAGTCAGTCCTTCAGTCTGTCAGTCGGTCTGTCAGTCTGTCTGTCAGTCAGTCAGTATGTCAGTCGGTTTGTCTGTCGGTCTGTCGGTCTGTCGGTCTATCAGTCTGTCAGTCCGTCCGTTAGTATGTCAATCGGTTAGTCTGTCTGTCGGTCGGTCTGTCAGTCTGTCGGTCTTTCAGTGTGTTGGTCAGTCGGTCGGTCGGTCAGTCAGTCAGGCAGCAGTCGGTAAGTTTGTCAGTCAGTTAGTCAGTGAGTCAATTAATCAATCAATCAGTCACTCATCCGATCAGTCAATCAGTTAATCAGTGAAGCAGAAAGCCAGTGGTTCAGCCAGTCAACCAATCACGTTATTGAAAAAGTCAATCAGGCAGTCAGGTATTTGGCCACTGGATGTCATACTCACCATATGAATTAGAGGAACAGTGATACCGCAGAAACATGTGGTACTTGCAATCAGGAAGATAACAAATTCCTTATTTCGTAAGTATGACAAATCTAGAGTCGCACACAGGTAGGCCAATCCACCTGGGCGTCGGACGTCTTTAGTGCATTCCTCAATATCGTTTCCAGCGTCCGTGACAAACGAACAGGATAATATGCAAGTCAATAACTAACATTCCTGCCATGACAAGAAAAGTGACCCTCCAAGTAGAGACACTCAGAAGGGCTTGAATGATGGGGCTCATAACAATTAGTCCTCCCCCTGACCCCATGAGAACGAGCCCAGCTGCCAAAGAGCGCCTCTTAATAAAGTACCTGGGCATGATAGTTAAAACAAAAAAGAAAATACAGCAACTACCAAAGCCAAATACCAGGCCAAAGGTAAAGTACATCGTTGTCAAGTTGGGTGCTTGTGACGTCACGGCGAGAGCCGCGGTGGCGATAAGACTACCGCTGACCGCAGCTGAACAATGGTTGAACCGATCACAGAGAACTCCCACCACGGGTCCGAACAGACTGCCGCTTGCATACGCCAAGGAACCAACCCAAGCTGTTTGGAGAGAAGAGAACATAGAAATTAGTTACTATGGCCTTAGTGTCTCGCATCTGCTATAGCGACTAGAATGAAAGAAGAAATAATTACTGGCACATAATTTTTGGCAAAATAATCGAAAATTTTAAGATTCTCTTTAAGAGGTTGCATATAGCAGACGGCCATCAAGCGCCTTCCGCATTCCATTTGTACAGCGTTAACTAACGCATTAATCCTTTAATCCCAAATATCAAAATATTAAAGATATGTTTATCGTAGCGGCAGTGGAAAGAAGTTGTTACTTGTAAAATGTCAAGAAATTTATTCTGGATGATCATATCCTGAATTCTCATAACCTTTCCAATGATGAACTTTCAATATTCCAAGGAGAAATATTTACACTGAGTACCAGCAGGAGTACTAGCTACAGTTAAGAAACTGAAACTGCGCGAAACTCATATGTACCGAACAAGAGAGTATATCCTCCCTTGTGCTGAATAAGGTTAAGTTTAAATAAATTGTTGTAAGTGAAATATACAGAATTCTACTAGTATACTAATGCAAATGCTGCAATCTGATTGGCTGAGCCACTCGTATACTATCAGCCATTAGAATGCAGTGGCCGTCGATCGTTCCCGAAATGCGACGTTTTTGTCGTTTTTCCGAAGTTTTGAACGAAAGTTTAGATGTAAATGGATAATTAAATTCCTGAGAAGACTAAAGGAAGGACATTCGCGCTTCCTTGAGTTTAAAAACTTGAAACTATTGAAAAAACGGGTGCGCGCGCGTAAACAACTGCAAATTTACCAAGGCAATTCAATACGTGTGATTTTGTTAAAGCGTAAAGTTCAATAATGCTTAGAAAAATAATTGGAAACCATTATTTGCATTAATTTCAGTTAGACTTCTACTAAAACAATTAGATTTTTAGTTCTCGATTTCTATGAGGCGATATGGCTATGAGTTGACTCAGGCTGCGCTCGTCAACTATCAGCTCACCATAATCTAATTGTTAATTAGTATTGTAAGTAGAGCTAGTATCGTAAAAAGTAATGTCACGGCATTATAAGTTACGTGTAGTATTGTAAGTTATGTCAGTTTTGCAAGTACTTGTAGTTGTTACTCTAAGTTCTGTTAAAATTATTATTGTAAATAATGTGTGTTTTCAAATCAGAAAAAATAAAAATAAAAATTTCCTCCAAACCGTTAATGCCAATATTGAGCGTCAAGCTATGATCCACCTGTACGGTTTTTAAGTTGTTAATGTTTCAGAGCTTGCCTTTTGCATTTCTCCAAAAACAAGTTTTGAAAAATTTGTTTACGTTACAATAGCTTGTTTTGGTTATTACTACATTTTTCCACCTCATTTTAGTTTTAGAATTAGGTAACTATATATA